AGCATTAGCAATCTTTTTTTTCTCTACAGAAAATTTAAAAGCATCGAGTCTTGCCGGTTTCAAAATCGCACCCGTGCAGCCAGCCAACGACGAGCAGAGATTATTTACAGGGCAGTGCAAGGGAAAAAATACTGTTTATTCATAATGGTTCCATAAATACATACAAATTAAACTGGATCATACTGAAATCTCAAGTTTTGATTTTTGAAAAACAAAATAATAGTTCTTGTACGCGTTATAATTTATCATATCGTTGCATTTTTATATAATGTTGAGCATAGAGTATTCAAAATTCCGAAATACATCAAGCTGTGCATCTTTTAAAATTCTACATAAATATTCCAGTTTTACCTGTTTAAAATTATTTTGATTTTCAGTTACTTTTCATGAGTTTATTTCATCAAAAGATACTTTTGTCCATTCAAACTTTATCTTATGTACAATTTTCAAAATAATATGTAGTCAATAAAAATAGTAAATGATGAAAAAAACGGATTTTCATTAAAAAAAATTTCATACTAAGCTTATGCTCAATCGACAGGAAATTATCAAAATCGTGAAAAAAATCCATATATAAAGGAAAAAACAGTTTCCATTATAAATTTTTTGTGGCTACTTTAAAAACGTGTGAGCCGGTCGTCTAAAAAATCTGTATAGGCATACAAGAAGCTTCAAACGATATTTCAGTGGATTGAGTGAGTTGGTGCTTCACCGTTAGATAAGCCGTGTTGCCGTGTGTGCACGTGTGCAGCAGCCACACTTACAAACACTCACATTATCTCTGGTTCTCTCTCTCTTTCGCTGCTACTGTCGGTGGAATAGTGGGGGACACTGCTGGGTGCAGGGGACTCGGTCACTCTCTCTGTCTCACTTACTCTTACAAGTTAAGTACAAAATCTTCATTACAATTTTTTTTCTCGAAATTCTGTGCTTGTCTAAATAATTCAAATAGACCAAATCGATAGGGAATTTTCCGCTCTATACGCTGTTATTTATATTTTTACTATAGCTCTTACCGTTACTGAGATATGACCGAAATAAAATTTCAAATGCGATATTAACATTGATCCACCACTTGAAAAAATTTTTATTTATTTTTATCGTAATCAGCAGGTCAAATTACATAAAATATCAAAAACGCCTTCTTCTTCAACAACTTTCTAATTCAGAAGTTTCTCGGTTGGTCTAAGTTTCTTGATGCTGGAACAGTGTTCATATTCTCAGTAGAATTACATCGTCATGGGTTTGGAGATAAAGTTGGCAACTTTTACAAAATTCGTGGAGTGAGTAGAGTCGCGTTGTAAGGTCTCTACGCATTTTGTAAGAGTTGCCAACTTTATCTCCAAACCTATGACGATGGAATTCTACTGACAATACGAACACTGAGCTGAAAGCTCACGTCCCCCAGCTGTAGTAGGCCCCCCGTAAGACAGGTGGCGTTAGCTTCGATACGACAGTTACCAATGTTACCATAAGAGATCGGCAATCACCATTCGAACTGACGGTGTCGACACTAATTTTTGAAATAATGAGAAATACCGAGGAATATCCACTGAAACAATAATCTTCCATTGAAAAATAACTAAAAAACAAAGTTTAAATAAAAATCTTCAATTTTAACTACAGCTCTTATGGCTGGTCAAACACTATATATGGCTAATAAAATTTGTGGTACATGTCTTTCCGATGGTTAAGCGGTTAAGGTCGCAAGACTTGCTTTTGCGCTCTGGCTTTCGAATCTTAACGACGATCTTTTTTTGTGTTTTTTTTTTGCAAGTATGTATTTCCATAACATTTAATTTATTACATTTCATTCATTCATAATTTTTCTATATTTCTATAATTATATTTTTTCCATAAGATTTTACATTTTAATAATAAGACTTTGAAAACTGCTCTAGGCTAATGCCAATAACAAACTAATGTGAGCATAAATGAAATATTTTACTAACACAATTAGTATAATTTATTTTTTATTGGCATTACTCAATGGAAACCGAGGGAAAGGTGGCAGTATTTTCCATCAGGATAGAATACATGCAGGATAAAGAGCACATTAGATGTGAGGGGCAGTTAGTTCACGTAAGGCTAGTTCCAGTTGCCGAAAATAAATCTATACTGATCAATGCAGTGAATAATCAATAAATAATGTTTACACTGGTAATAATAGTAATTACCTATGTACATTGATAAGTTTTAGTACCTAAAAGATTTTAAATAATAAAAAGTAAATCTTACATATTTACAAATATTACGCACAGTAAGATTAACAAATTATAGAATGAAAATATAATATAATTAATAAATTATAAAATTGTAAAATTAAAATAACATATAAAAGGATAGTTTTTGTTGGTTTCTTAGGATAGTTTGACATTTAATTTTTGAAGCTTAGCATACGGTTTTGATGATCTTGATAAAGAGGTACGTTTATTAGTATCTCGAGCGTCTCTAAAAATCCATTTCAAGTTATAAAAAATGTGCATCCTAACAAATAATTTAAGTATATAACCGCGATGATCAGAACAATTATCTTGAGAAAAAAATCGTTGTATTTACTTGATACAACAGTTTTAACAGCTAAATGTAGATTAAACGCGATATTTTTTTACGCTAAATGACTTTTGAATTTAGAATTGAGCACCTGATAATATGCATAAGAATAAAATAAAACTGTCCGCTTTGGCCGTCTGTACATAAAGAGGATATATTCTATTTTATCTGCTCTTGACCCTCTGTAGGAAAATTGTCCCTTCCTGAGATCACCATAATGCAAGGAGCCTTAAGGGGGCTCCAACGAGCACGGGTACCAACTCAGAAATAATTGTATCAGCTGGTATCACTGCTGCAGGTATAGTGAGAGCAACATCGTAAATGTGTGTAACTGTAGGAGCTATTCACATAGACATTTTTTGCTTATTTAATTGTGAACGTTCATGTTGAAAAGTGGGTTCCACTGTTCCGCTAAACTCAAATTGAGTGAACAGACTGAACAGACCTATACCTCTTTTTCCATTAGGCAACAAAATCCCGGAGCTATTCACATAGACTTTTTTTGGTTATTTCATTGTAAACGTTTGTATTGGAAAGGGGGTTCCACTGTTCCGCTCAACTCAAATTGAGTGAACAGACTGAACAGACCTATACTGTGTTCTCTGTCAGTCAACATAGTTGCGACCACAGATAGGCTTTGTTGTTTGTTGCCTGATGGAAAAAGAGATATAGGTCTGCTCAGTTTGAGTTTAGCGGAACAGTGGAACCCCCTTTTCAATATGAACGTTCACAATGAAATAAGCAAAAAATGTCTATGTGAATAGCTCCCCCAACCCTGCTATGGTCGCAACTATGTTGACTGACAGAGAACACAGTATAGGTCTGTTCAGTCTGTTCACTCAATTTGAGTTGAGCGGAACAGTGAAACCCCATTTTCAATGTGAACGTTCACAATGATATAAGCAAAAAATGTCTATGTGAATAGCTCCGTAGAAACTGTATCCTAATACAAGTGGAATGCAACGACTTGATGAATACGTAACTGAATTTCTCGAATTTTTTCAGGGTTACTTATATTGTGCAAGGTACCATTTGAAAGCTGAGATTTTTTTCCATAAAACAGTTCCCGTCCTAATATGTAACTCCTACGTTATGGTTAAAAAATAAGGATGTATTTATGTTGCTCCATAAGAGGGTGTGTATTACGTGCGAACTTTGAAAGCAAATATCTCAAAATTATCTACGATTAGAGGGGTAAATAAAAACACCGCTGAATTCAGTGGGTTTTTATCCATCAGTTGAACTACCTATGATCTCTTAACTTTTCCCGCTAGAACCCACTAAAAGTGTTCATTTTTTGTTCTGAAATATCTTAATAATCACATGACTGAGATCGGCCAAAAATAGTAAGTTTGTATTTTATAAAAAATAGAATGAATCAAAAACTAAATTAGAGCCCCCAACTATTGTCAATGATATGTATCCAACTTTCTTAAGGAAACTTGTTAATAAATTTAAAAAAAGGTTATTCAAAATGGATTGACCAAATAATTCAACCTTTTAACGAGCTAATTACATTGGCTTAATATTTGAATCCAATTACTTAAGGTAAGTAATTTTTTTTTTTTTATTGTTTATATTGAGTATTTCAACACCATTCATACAAAAAAATGTTAAATTCAAGGGTTATGCATTACACGTTTTTATTCATAAATTTCAGAAAATTTTACTTGATATCGTGTAGAGTATCATGTCGGCAATCGTGCAATTATGTTACATGAGTTTTTATAGAATTTTAGGTAGGATATTGTGTAGATATCTAGCACTATATCACATGTCAACATTTTTTTACGGATTTGATTTACTTTTTGATACACCAAATAAGATTGCATTTCCACTCAATTGAAATTGTTCTACTTTTTATACAGATTTTATATTTTACATAGAATAAGCATAATAAATAAAAACTGCAAAAAAGGATATACATAACACCCCCCACCAAATGCAACACAGCAGCATATGTAATTATGATTAATATGTACATCCAAAACATCAAGAAGGATTACTTCATTTCAAAGAGAGCATCATTAAATTTACAGAACTAATCAAATGAATTTTTGTTGCTACATGTTTTTGGCAGGATTTTTGAAGACTATTATTACCTTAAGAATTGGCATGCTCGATTTCTCTGTTTTTAATTATGATAACTTACTAATGCTCAGTTCTACATGTTTATTTAATTTTATAAATCACGTTTCTTTATGATTATTCACGTTTTATAAGTTTTTCCATGATAAGCATGTTGAATGACTTATGTAACTTGGCGAAAGAGTTTTTCAAATTACAATAGAACTAAAGAAAAATTTTTATACGTAAATTAGTACCATTCTTGTTTAAGGTATCTCGAATTACGAAATAACATTATGAACTCTTGCTGTTACACCAAATAGATATATGGGAAAATGCTCAGTCATTCCTATGATGTATTAACCTTCGATCAATCTTACCTGGACTTTTGGTGTTGTACTTGCCTTCTAAGAACATCCTTGAATACAACCTGAATCACTCAAAAGTCACCGCGTGTCACTAGTGATATTTTGGTACTTATATCATAAGCAAGACTGCTAGACTTACCAGGACTGAGTACTTTTCGTTAAGATCAACGCGAGTATACAAACATATAACTTAGATGCAGAACTAGGTCACAAGAATTTCAGCGTTCTATTGTGTTCAGGATACACTAATGGAAGCGGTAACAGATGAGAGCTGCCAAATCATACACCGACACAGCTCTCTGAAAAGTTAGCCCCCAGGATCTAATTTTTTTTCGACTTCACCCGGCTTTGATACGATCGTAAAGATATACATAACACGCTGAAGGTGCGGTAGCCTTAGGCCGCGTCCACAGAAACGCGTCCGACTATAGTAGTACGTATAAGTTTGCACTAAGGTAAATGTCCCTATTATGACCATAAATTTCATCATACTTACTTCTTTGATTTTTTTTCTCAAATGTGAGCTCTAACAGTGAAAATTTTGGTATAAGCTGGTGCGCTATAAATTAACCATAATTATTCTAATTCTTAAGTATGGCTTTTTGAGGTTAAAAGATTTAATTACTCGTTGAAGTTTCATGAAATAATACGTACAGTTTAATAATTAGGTTATGTACGACTTTATCCCTAATGATGGAATTATCTTTAAAATTGGTAATTTATTGTATATAAAATGGAATTTTTCTTGTAAATTCAAAAAAAAACATAAAAAATAGAACTACCATAATTTTTTTATCAAGCAAGTTGTATAAAAACTACATGAATTTTCATATTCCATGCATATAGGGACATGTTCAACAAATAGGCATATTTCATAGAGATATTATGGGATATTTACATGACATTTACCTTAGTCCGAATTCGTTTAACGTCCATCAGACTCGTTCGGGAACTGACCGTGGGCGGCCAACACTAGCCTTCCTTTACCCAAAATACATGTAGTCGTTGTACATCTATCACAGAGGGTCAGACTTGTAAAGTTGGCGCCCGTAAATATTAAATATTAACATTTTGCACCCATTCAGGGCTTAAACGATTTTTCCTTACTTGCGGATTTATCCTCTACTTGAATTTTTATTTGCGGATCAATAAGTTGCGAGATATTTGCAAAATAAAAAGTCGAAAATGGGCTCGGCGCTGAAGTATAAAAAACTTTGTTTTAAGTGCTAAATTGGGTAAAAGTTAAAATCCAATTCTACCTGTACAATTCGATTCCTCCTTATTTACGGATTACGGAGGTATATAAATTAATGTAATTAATTGTCACAAAGTTTGTAAATAATGAATTTAATTATTAAGTGAGAGAATCTAGTAACTTTTGGTCCAGTGCTCTGTTCCTGTTGTTCGGTACAAGTCGTTTCCTCCGTACAGCGGGTTCTACAAAATATTTATCAGAATAGAAAACTTTAGTAGGTATTAATCTATTAATTATTAGTTATAAGTTATTCAGCCTTTGGGTCAATACACACACACACACACACACACATACATTTTTTGATGACTGCAATCTAGAGTAAACCCATTTAATAAACATTTTTTTTTTAATTAAGTACTTGTAAATTTATT